TCAAAAAGTCAACGATGAGTTACACCTGCTTTTTATAAGCCCATTTTGTTAGGTGCGAATTGACGAAACCTTAGCGAAATGCAAAAACCACTTATAAGCCCAGAGCACAAGGCAAAGTTGGGTGCGCCAAACGAGCATCATTTGTATCAAACTATCAGCTTCAACTTCGAAGTATTATAGCTTGGAACTTGGTTGTCCCAGGCAGTTCTGTGGCGAGAAGTTTGTCTTTTCCGAGATTCCATTTTTTTCATCCAATAAGGGTCTCGTTACGCACACTCCATGTTTGTCCTGCTACTGTTTCTAAGAAGTTGCACCCCGCCTTTAAAACCGGAGGTCCAAGAGTTTCTAAGTTAGGAAGGTTGAAAGGGGAGAGAAAGGTGACTGGCTCGCGAGCCAGGGTGGTGTCGAAATTGGTGGTCTGGGGTCGTAAAGGAAGAAAATTTCGCGAAAATAACCAGATCTGGAATGCAACATCAGAACTGGTTCGCAGACAGTTTCGGACGGGCTTCAAATTTGTTGGCGAAATCGTCACTGCTTTCGTCCTCGCTAGAACAGTAGTTTCGCGTGACGAAAATTGTCCCCCCGATTTGCGAAGTGAGTCGTACCTACTGCGTCACCCCTTCTCAAAGTTAGGAAGGTTGAGGCACTTTGGGGCTGTTTGGGACTCCGGTTTTAACAGACTCGGTAAAGTCAAATCAGAAGGTGACCAGACCTCTAGTGCCAGCTGGCCAGTGTGGCCAATCATTCAGCAACAAGTCAGCCGTTCACGGTTCGACAGTCTCCCGGCCAGATGTAATGAGCAGTTCGGGAATACACCGAGCCTCACATGTGTGCTACAGAACTTTAGCGCTGTACATCAAAGCTTGGGCGGTTCGATCTCCAACAGAATCAACAAGACCTACAACTGTACAGAGCGCCGTCGCCACCATCTCAGTCATCGAAAAGGTCCTCCAATCACAGCGATGGTGCCATTTCCTTCCTTCCCGTTCATCATGCGCGCCATTGGTCCCTGGATCTGTTGAAGAACAGACTAAAGCGGCTCGCCTAAAATGCAGAGACAGTGCAAGTTGTCAACAAGTCCGTCCATGCACGATGCGCCTCTATTCTTGTCGCAGCTCGCCAGATTATCGCAATCGCAATGCCGCAACCGCAATCCGGACTTGTGACTGCTTGCGAAGTTTTGCCCATCCCCCATACATTCGCATAACATACTGTTGTTGAGGCTCAATGTGTCCATGGTGTACATGTTTTGTGAGATTTCGCACAATTACTCTAAAATACATCATTTACACACATACACTGTAACATTCGATTTCAGCATTGATTCCGCACTTGTTGTCGAAATTTGATTGGTTTCAGCGTTGATTTGCTACTGTATTTGCATGCCTTCATGTACTTACGATTGTGGCTCAAACGACATCAAGACCCGTCAGGGCGCGTTCTGGGCTCTGGTCAAACTTCGGGAGCCCCACTTTTGTTCATCCAAACCCAACCTCAGGTCAGCAATTGTGCTGAGTGGGGTGCACTTGACCGAAAGCCTCTGGCCTCCAACTGTCTGATTAACTACGGTTGTTTGTTTGACCGGAGCCCAGAACGCGACCTCACCACTGTGGATGAATAATTCATGTGGTGATCATTGTTGGGGATAAATCACCCAAAACAATGAGTCATTTAAGGATAAACACTCAACTATTTCGGGACATTGGGTACACATGCAGTATGTCTGCTCGTTGTTTCCAGTGCTTGCAGATCACCTGAGGTTGAAAACACTGTGAAACTGCACCCTGCCAAACGGGAAATAAGGACGTGGGCCCAATCGACTTTGATCGGCGCGATCAGAGGCGATCAAAAGCTTCGAGGAAGGCGGGAAGCAGATTTCCGGCAATCGGGGGCAATCAGTTGATCGCGATCAGCTGATCGCGCCAACTCAATCAACCGCCTCAAACAGCCCGATCAGACCCGATCAGACACAATCAGCCCCAATCACTTGATTGCATGTGATCGGCGACCTGGGCGATGTACGCGAAATGTAACACGTCTCGCCATGAGGTCTCGAAAATCCTTGCGAATACACCCAGATCGGCGATAACTGTATGCCATAGCCATCGTGCGGACCTTGTGCAATGCGGGCGAAGTTGGCGACATTACCACGATACTGAGATTCGTCCGTCTCGCCAAAGTTGGGATGCAACAGTTCTCATGAGCGCGAAACATTCGAGGAAAATCATCTCTGATCGTGCGGCGCGAGGAAAACGAGCACAAGCAATCCGATCCGACCCAACCCGATCCGATCAGAGCCGATCAAAGTCGATTGGGCTCACGTCCTAAGCACTGAAAGTCTAAAGCTAACTGAACAGGTACTGTAGCAGACTGAAAGGGTAGCCCCGTAATCAAAACAAGGCAGAATGTGTCGCGGCGCGGGTCGATCATGCGACAATCACACGAGACTGGATGCCCCTCGCATGCGACAGCGGTTCTGCGTTTAGTTTCCACCAAACTATACAGTCGATGCTCAGCCTATCACAAAACATTTGCTCCCCACAATATGAAATTTAGTCACTCGCGAACGTTTTGCCCGTGAGTGACTAAATTGACCATTGTGCCGATTTCAGGGTACAGTCACCAAGTTGATGAAGAAAAACATATACAGTTCATAAACAACAACGGTTGCCCGTCATCAGAGAAGTTAACCTGGTTACGAAATTAAAGCCCTTGAATCGATTCACGTTGCAATTTCATATTACAGTTACGTTTTGCCCGTGGCGACAAGGGCGAATGTGGCGAAATGTTCTAAACTCGTTTCACGCACGTGCCGCCCGCCTACCTGGTGTTCTTGAAATGGGCACCGACTGTAGTTGCCTTGCCAGCCACTTGGCTCGGCATTCCTCCTTGTTGCGCGGATCCCTCCCTTCCATTTCATCCATCCTTTTATGCAATGCAATCTCGCCCTCTTGTCCTCTACACAACACCCATTCACCACCACTGAACTGAACATTCCCCGTTGCTAGCTTTGGAGCTAATACAGATGTTCTCGTTTATAGTCCGACGGATCAACATCGCCGCGCGCGGACTATGTGGCAAACCCTTCAAACCCCAGGCAAGACGCGATACTTATAGTCCCGTTCAGGAAATTGCATGAAGAGTGGTTGCTTTGCTACTAGTTTCTGGAGTCTGGCATTTACGTAGATTTGGACCGCGCTTGCTTCAACTTCCAGTCGCACGGTTTTCCACGCTGATCAATGTCGCATGACTAACGGTCAAAACAAAACAAATTCAACTATGGTTTTTGGGGTCGAATAGTAACCCAGAAACTTCGTTTCTACCCTGTAAGCGAGATAAATGAGATGTCATCGCGCTGGAGACAGCGCGACAGGATTGAGAAGTAGTCGCGGTCAAGAGAAACAATTACTTACAATTCAAAGATTAAAATATCGAATCGATGATCTCTTCTTCATCGTTTTCTTTGAATGTTGGGCTGGTTTGATCTGGAGCCTCTGATTGGCTGCGGAGCTGATTCGTGCAATGATTCGGTCAAGCTGCAAAATTTCCCGCCAAAAACGGGACTATAGGGGTCGGGCCAACCCTAGGCGATATCGGAAAATTCTACTCAGGGGGGAAAAGGGACTCTCTCAACGAGGGCCTCTAACCCGGAACATTTGTACGTGTACTCGTCTAGTCTCGTGTACATGCCTCCGGTTTATCTCCCGAAGCTTATCCTCGCGTCTCGCCTTCCTCTCATACACCTCGTTCCCACCATATCCGCAATTCGCCCTTTTTCCTTCAGCGACCAGTGAGATTGCCTCTCCTCATCCTCCCTCGCGAACCGCACTGAGTGGCCTTAATCTCCGTCCTCGCATTGCCTTTGTTTTCGACGACGACGCGCCGGCCTACCGCCGCTGAGGAGTACGTATTACATCATGCCCGGATCCGGAATTACGGCTCAGGGAATGAGGTGAATCCTCACATGGACGATATGAATTGCGTCGACGCATCATCTAAGGGCGGTATTGCCGATGATAATGAGAACACCGTTACTTGATATTCTGATTTCTGAGCGCATTGGGTGACAAGCAATCACGTCCTTGGAGGAGTTCACTTTTTTTGTTGTTTCCCCAGGACCAGAATCGTAGGAACAGTCGCAGTCACGCGTTGTCAGCCATGGATCCGCCCTCCTGTAATTTCCTCTGCTCTCGACGGATTTGTCGCTAGCGAACCACGGTATTAGTGCGCCCTCATCATCTCTGCCGGCCCCGCTGCCCTCCCCGCCGGCAGGCCGTCCTGTCGCGCTTAACTCACGATCCAGCAGCAGCAAAAGAGCTCGGTTCGCTGCTACTTGCGACCAGCTTTAACTAGCACAGCAGCGGTTGTTCGATTCCTCATCTTATGAGGAACGGCTGGGTCAACACGTCAAAACAGTGTCCGCCGCAGGCAGGAAAACGCGCCCGGTCTGGCGCTGATTCTTAAATCAGCATTGCATTCCAGATTCTCTCCTGAAGATTCGCGAAAACAGACGTCCGTCGCTCGTCGCCCGCCATCCGTCGTCCCGTCGACCGTCGCCGTCATCCGTCATCCGTCGCTCGTCGCGAGGACCCTGGCCGAAACGTGTGATCCGAGGGTGTCGGATGACGGGGTTTTAGCTCTGGTATTAGGGGCTGGAAGTCGGGTGTCAGCAGTCAAGCTCACCTTTACTAGTATTATTGTTTCTGAGCCGTCTCGAAGCGAGACCTGTAGTACTCGGAAGGTTGACCGATACCGCAGGGCTAGCTTTGAAAGCGGAGAACGAGCGCGAGCTGCAGACCCTGCTGCGCGGTCACCGGCGTGAGTTGCGCGGAACTTTGCGCCGCCGGGCGTATAGCCGTTTCGCATCGCCCCCGCGGTCTCCTCACTCCCCCGCTCCCGCAGTCCCCCGCCGCGCTTCAACGCAGTCCCCGCTGTTTTCAGCTGCGCGCCTCTGTGACCCGCGGTCCCCCCTGTCCCGCATTGGTTCCCCCCGGCGGAACATGACTGTGCGACGAACGAGCGCCAACCAGCAACTGGCGGACGCTTTGGCGGACTCGTGGTCAATCAAGGCGGAAGCGGCGGAAGAAACCGCGGGCGCGGGCACAGGCAGCGGAAGCGCGGCTGCGGCCGCGGCATTGAGCACCCAGCGCGCGGAGGCGGAGCTGGCCAGCGCGGAGGCGTGGGCGGAAGGATCTGGTGCGTTGCGCGGGGGTGTTGCTCCCGCTGAAAGCCCCAGCGGTGGAGAGAAGCGCGCGGTGTCGCAAGAGTTTGCGGCATTGGCGGCGCCAGCAGCGGCCGATCCAACTGATCTCCTTAACGTTCATTGTGCATCCGTGTCGCCCCACGTGTCAGGAGGACTCGTTGATTACCAGCAGCATCCCTCTGGACTCGCCTTATTGACGGACCAATTGGAGCCAGGAGAAAGAAGTGAGGTTAATCCTGACCGTCGACTCGCGGATCTGGAAGCGTATCCTTTGGGTGACGTGGAAGTGGCCGCGACTTGCGGGCCGAAGGACACGTTGCAGAGCGGGAGCAAACGGCGAGCCGCGCTAATGGATCTAACGAATGTGACTGTCCGTGATGGTGATCGTAACGGTGGTGGGCGCGTGGGCGGTGCGGGAGATCGTATCGGAGGAGAGAAGGCGGGACGGAGGGAGACGGTAAATCGAGAAGGGGGGAAAACGAGCGGGAATAGCGTGGCGCGACAAAGAAACGATTCCGATGAAAGAAGAAGCGGGAGGGACGTCATAGGCGGAGGAGAAGGAGGAGGACGCGGCAGCGGAAGCGGAAGCGGCGGCAGAGGCGGAGGCGGAGGCGGAGGAGGCACGGCATGGTGGGAAGATCTTAGGAGCTTCCCAGCGAAAAGAGCAAGGGTAGGTGGTGGACGCGGGAATGGAGTGTTTTGAGTCGACTCATAAACAAACGGCATGGTGGGAAGATTCTGGGAGCTTCCCAGCGAGGGGAAGAGCGAGGGTAGGTGGTGGATAGATTGCTTGTTGCTTGTCGTTGTGGGCGATGGGGAATGCAGGGGTGTGTCAAGATGGAGATAGTACTGAGACGAGACGGCTACTGAGATGAGATGTCTCAGAAGCGAAACTGTCAAATGCGCCCTTCGGTTCTGCGTGCCTTATAAGGTCAAAATCACTTCGCGCTCTTCCCCCCCTTCCCCTCTCTACTTCCTCCAAACCCAACCTTCCCCACTTTTTTCCCCTTTCCTCCCCACATCACCCCCCTGTTGTCTGTGCGCGCAGATCGCCCCCCCCTCGCCCCCCGCATTCCGCGGGACAGCACCGGAGCCAGCGGCTCTGGATGCTGCACTTGCTTGCGCACACCCGACATTGGAAGCAGGCGCAGCAGAGGCAGCAGCAGGAGGAGCAGCAGTGCAGAGAGCAGCATCACCATCATTACCACCACCACCATCAGCAGCAACAGGCGGGTCGTCCCCCCGCCATGTCTATGTGTTTGGACAAAGCATCGCCACTCTTCCCTCCTCTCGCCCCTCTCGCCCCGCCCCTGCTCCCTCCCACTTCCCCGCAACCAACCCTTCCACGCTCCCCCCTCCCCCCTCGTCGCCGTGCCCGCCTGCACCTCCGTCTGCGTCTACCGCCGTGCCTCCTGCTCCCCCCACTGCTGCTGCTGCTGCTGCTGGAGCAAGAACAGCAGCAGCAGCAGCAGCAGCAGCAGCAGCAGCAGCAGCAGCAGCAGCAGCAGCAGCAGCAGCAGCTGAAGCAGCGGGAGCAGCGGGCGTGGGCCTGTGGCAGTGGCGGGAGCAGTGCTTCCTGCTGGCCGCAGAGGAGGACGCGGAGGAGGACGCGGAGGAGGACGCGGAGGAGGACGCGGAGGAGGACGCGGAGGAGGACGCGGAGGAGGACGCGGAGGAGGACGCGGAGGAGGACGCGGAGGAGGACGCGGAGGAGGACGCGGAGGAGGACGCGGAGGAGGACGCGGAGGAGGACGCGGAGGAGGACGCGGAGGAGGACGCGGAGGAGGACGCGGAGGAGGACGCGGAGGAGGACGCGGAGGAGGACGCGGAGGAGGACGCGGAGGAGGACGCGGAGGAGGACGCGGAGGAGGACGCGGAGGAGGACGCGGAGGAGGAGCATTCTCACAGCTCTCTCACTCTACACCCTGCCACGCGGGTTGGGATGGGTCTGGGACACGGGGAAAGTCAGTGTGTCGGTGGTAGGGGCGCAGATGGGAATGGGGAGGGGGGTGAGTGCAGGGATGGGGGCGGAAGGGGGTTGGGAGCGGTTGAAAGGAGGGATGGTGCAGGTGATGTTGGTGCTGGGGTGGAATTGTGGCGAGAGGAGGGGGGATGTGCGAAGGAGAGTGAGTGTGCGAGGGATAATGAGGGTGGGAGAGAGAGTGAGGGCGGGAGAGAGAGTGAGGGTGGGAGAGATATTGAGCATGGGAGAGAGAGTGAGGGAGGGAAAGAGATTGAGCATGGGAGAGAGAGTGAGGGAGGGAGAGAAAGTGAGTGCGGGGGAAGGAGCAAGCCTGTGAGAGAGAGCGAGTGTGGAGAAGAGAGAGAATTAGAAGGAGGTAGTGAACGTCGGGAGGAGGGGGAGTGTGCGAAGCTCGAATCATCCCGCGAGAAAGAGCATTTGGTGCTGCTGCAGAGACCATCCGTGATCCCCGAGAAAGGCGCGTGTGTGTGGAGCAGCGGTGCAAGAGAAGGAGAGCAGCCATCATCCCCTCCTCATGCTCTCCCTCCTTGCCCTGCTGCAGCACAGCACGCGGCAGAAGGCCAGGCCCTGCAGGAGCGAGTGGCGGAAGAGCGAGGGGAAGACGGGAAGTTTGGGAACGGACACAAGGGGATGGAGGAGGAGGGCCAGGCGGAGGAAGGCAAGTGTGGTGGGGCGCGTGAGGAGCGTGAGGAGCGTGAGGAGCAGCGGTTGCAGTCGCTGGAGTGCAGAACAGCTCACTGCTCCCTGCGTGCACGTGATACTGCCGCCCCTGTTCCGGTGCTACCTGCCTCTGCCTCCCTTCCACCGTACCCCCTTTCGCCCTCCCCCATGGAAGAGCATCAGTGCCACGTGCCACCAGCACTACCAGCAACGGGAGCACCACCACCACCGCTACCACGGCCGCCGCCACCATCGTCGACGCACATCATAGACATTGACAGTAACGACAGCGACCCGCAGTTCTGCACTCCCTATGCTGCTGACATCCACGCCTACCTCCGCATTGCCGAGGTGAGGCGCTGCGCAGCGCGGTGCAGTGCAGTGCAGCGCGGTGAGGTGAGGTGAGTTGAGGTGTGAGCCGAGGCGAGGCGCAACGAGCCGCCGTGCTCACCTCATTCGATACTGCATGCACGCACCTTATCCTGTTCACGGATAAGTTTGACTTTTGAGGCGCCTCATAAGTTTGCAGCTCGCTGAGAATTATGTCAGAACACCAGCGACGTTGTCCTGCATGCATGCACCTTGTCCTGTTCACGGATGCACGTTCCACGACGTTTCGCAACGTTCCACGACGTTTCGCAACGTTCCACGACGTTTCGCAACGTTCCACGACGTTTCGCAACGTTCCACGACGTTTCGCAACGTTCCACGACGTTTCGCAACGTTCCACGACGTTTCGCAACGTTCCACGACGTTTCGCAACGTTCCACGACGTTTCGCAACGTTCCACGACGTTTCGCAACGTTCCACGACGTTTCGCAACGTTCCACGACGTTTCGCAACGTTCCACGACGTTTCGCAACGTTCCACGACGTTTCGCAACGTTCCACGACGTTTCGCAACGTTCCACGACGTTTCGCAACGTTCCACGACGTTTCGCAACGTTCCACGACGTTTCGCAACGTTCCACGACGTTTCGCAACGTTCCACGACGTTTCGCAACGTTCCACGACGTTTCGCAACGTTCCACGACGTTTCGCAACGTTCCACGACGTTTCGCAACGTTCCACGACGTTTCGCAACGTTCCACGACGTTTCGCAACGTTCCACGACGTTTCGCAACGTTCCACGACGTTTCGCAACGTTCCACGACGTTTCGCAACGTTCCACGACGTTTCGCAACGTTCCACGACGTTTCGCAACGTTCCACGACGTTTCGCAACGTTCCACGACGTTTCGCAACGTTCCACGACGTTTCGCAACGTTCCACGACGTTTCGCAACGTTCCACGACGTTTCGCAACGTTCCACGACGTTTCGCAACGTTCCACGACGTTTCGCAACGTTCCACGACGTTTCGCAACGTTCCACGACGTTTCGCAACGTTCCACGACGTTTCGCAACGTTCCACGACGTTTCGCAACGTTCCACGACGTTTCGCAACGTTCCACGACGTTTCGCAACGTTCCACGACGTTTCGCAACGTTCCACGACGTTTCACGCCCGGTTGCCTCGACTCCTGCAAATCCCCCCCATTCATCCACCCATCATCCCCCCTCGTCCCCTTACCCTCTCTCTATCTCCCTCCCTCGTCTCCCCTTCCCTTAACCCGCTCCTCCCTTCCCCTCCCCGTTCCCCCCATCCGCCCTCCCCTGTGCCCCTTCCCCATCCCCCCGTCCCCGTGCAGCGGCGGCACCAGCTTACGCACCAACTCCGTTCACCCCCCCTCCCGTCCTGTTCTGTCCCCTCCCCATTTCCCATCCTCCCCCAACCCACCATCCCCTCGTCCCCCGTGCAGCGGCGGCACCGACCCACAATGGCGCTGGAGGAGGGGAGGGGGGGCGACATAAGCGCGGCGATGCGGGGCATTCTGATGGACTGGCTGGTGGAGGTGGCGGAGGAGTACAAGCTCGTGCCCGACACGCTCTTCCTCACCGCCGCCTACATCGACCGCTTCCTCTCCCACGCCACCGTCACCCGCAACCACCTGCAGCTCCTCGGCATCGCCTCCATGCTCATCGCCTCGTAAGCATCCTCTGCCCTCCTCTTCCCCTTCTCCCCTCTCCTCATCGCCTCGTAAGGCCCTTCTCTTCCCCTTCTCCCCTCCGCTCATCGCTTCGTATTCATTGCCCGCCTCCCCCTCCTCTCTGCGTATCGCATCGCCTCGTAAGCAACATCCTCATTGCCTCTCTTACAAGGGGGTACGATCCCTCTCTTCTCCATCCGCGCACTCGCATGGAGTATCCCCTCGCCCCGTTCTCCATGACCTGTCCGCCCTCACCTCTCCCGTCGCTTCCTTCTCCCTCCCCCCTCTCACCGCTCCCCATGGCAGCAAGTACGAGGAGATATACGCGCCGCAGGTGGACGAGTTCTGCTACATCACGGACAACACGTACCGCCGCCACGAGGTGCGGATTGTTGAAGCACTTATGGATCCGTCAGTCAGCGTTGCTCGCCATGCTTCTCGCCACTAATGGTGCTTGTGGTGGCATTGCATGAGCGGCGTGGCTGCAGGGCTTGCATCCTCGCAACTTCGAGTGGGGGTAGGAAAGACGGGATAGAGAGGAGGTGGGGAAAGGGAGGGGGAGAGGAGCGGGACGGGAGGGGAGAGGGGAAGGGAGAGGGGAGGGGAGAGGGGAGAGGAGTTGCAGGAATGGCTGATGCACCTGCGTCTCAACTTTGTTTTGAGGCGCCTCAAAACTGCACCGGCATCGTAATTTCAAATCATCATGCTATGATGATCGTATATGCGCCTCAAGACTCGTTTGAATCTGTCATGCTGTAGGACTGAGTGTTCCCAACAGTGACTCGCACAAGTGGAATCCACCTCACCGCTCTCCGGCCTCCAACCCCGTCTCTCCGTTCCCTCCCTCTCCCGTCCCCGCCCCCCCACATTCCTCTCCTCACCTCGTCTCCTTGTTCCCAGGTGATCAACATGGAATGGCGCGTGCTGCTACAACTAAACTCCAAATGGTCGTTTGTTTTATAGACCTTGCACAACAAGCCCCCATCTCTACATCAACCCACCCAGGATCGTTCCCCCTTCTCCCCTTCTCCCCCTCTCCCCCTTCTCCCCTTCTCCCCCTCTCCCCCTCTCCCCCTCTCCCCCTCTCCCCGCAGGTGATCGACATGGAGTGGCGCGTCCTGCTACAACTCAACTTCGTCCTCGCCACGCCCACCACCAAGAGCTTTCTCAGGTCCGTGCTTTTCACACGTAGTTACCATTGTTGATCCTGTTTCTCGAGAGTTATCTTCAGGAAATGTTCATGCACTGCTGCCCTTCTATTATGAGTCAGGAAGATCCCTCTTTCTATGGCTTCTTCTCAAATCTCATATGTAGGTGTATGTAAGTGTATGTAAGTGTATCTATGTGTATGTAAGTGTACGTAAGTGTTTGTAAGTGTATATAAGTGTATGTAAGTGTATGTATGAATATGTATGTATATGTATGTGTATGTAAGTGTATGTATGTGTATGTATGTGTATGTAAGTGTATGTAAGTGTATGTATGTGTATGGATGTGTATGTAAGTGTATGTAAGTGTAGGTAAGTGTATGTATGAGTATGTATGTGTATGCATGTGTATGTATGTGTATGTAAGTGTATGTATGTGTGTGTAAGTGTATGTATGTATATGTATGTCTTTGATGTGTAAATGTGTGTTTGTGCCTGTGCCAGTGCCTAGTGGTGGATGTGGGAGGAGGGGTGAAGCAACATTGTTCTATTCACCAAGCCTACCAGGCCCACCAAGCCTACCAGGCCCACCAAGCCTACCAGGCCCACCAAGCCTACCAGGCTCATCAAGCCACCCTCATTTGAATCCGCATTTTGAGGCGCCTCACAAGGTTTCTCATTTCATATCCTCTGTCTGTCTCCATATCCCATCACCGCAGGAGGTTCATACGAGCAGCACAAGCGACCCTCCAGGTACACTTGCTTACTCCTCCATTTCCCTTTCTTCTTCCCCCCTTGTCCAATCCGCCCCACAAACCCACCCTTGGTATTTCTTAGCATTGAACGTAAGTTGACTTTCGAAACTCAACTCAAAAGTCGAGACTCGTAAGTTGTTAGCTCACACCTGTTTGTTCATCTCGAAGCTCAACGAATCCATTCTCAGACATTGAAAGCACCGTCTAGGATATTGGAACGTGGAACGTTACCAGGAACGTGGTAATACCCGCCCCACCCGCTCAGACCACTCGCTCCGTCTCAGCCTCGTTCCTCGCCGCTTCTCCTTTCACCATGCAGCTTCGTTCTCCCTCACTCCTTTCACTTCCACCCCTTCCACCCCCCATTTTCCCGTGTTCCTCCTCTTCAACCCCATTTGCCCTCCTCTTCCGTCTCCCTGCCACTCCACCCATCCGTGCAGGCCCCATCACTGCAGCTGGAGTTTCTGGGAAACTTCTTGGCGGAGCTGACACTGCTGGACTGCACGTGTGTGGCCTTCCTCCCCTCGCAAGTGGCCGCGGCAGCTGTCTTCCTCGCCAAGCTCACTCTCTTCCCCTCGCTACCACCCTGGGTATCGCTCCTCACGCCCTACGGCCTCACTCCTCCTCACTCCCTCTCACTCCTCCTCACTCCCTCTCACTCCTCCTCACTCCCTCTCACTCCTCCTCACTCCCTCTCACTCCTCCTCACTCCCTCTCACTCCTCTTCACTTCTCACTCCTCCTCACTCCCACTCACTCATCCTCACTCCGCACTCCCTCTCACTCCTCACTCCACTCCTGACCCTGCATACACACTTGCCCCTCCTTCCACACGCCTAGGCTAGACCATGGAAACCAGCGCTTCCCCAGCAATGGCCGTGAGTTGCTGTTGGGCCTTGCAAAGCATGTGCGCAACTGCAATTGTATTGGAATTCTTAAAAAAAGCGTTCCAAAGCATGTGCGCAGCTGCATATCTCCACCCCTTCTATCCTTGCTACCCCCCTCGTTGACTTTCTCCACCAATCACCTGCTGCGCCAGCCACATTTGTAGCACCACACTCACAGGGTTAGTACCCTGTGTGGTGCAAGCTGCGCCAGCCACCCTACACGCATGCAAGCGGCTGGTGGAACATCTTAGGTGCCAAACAGCCTCTTTTCTTCCTCTCCTGTCCCCATACCAGACGCAAACCATGCAGCACTACACATGATACAGCACGTGCAAGCCGCTGGTGGGGCATCTCAGTGCGAGGCAGATTTTCAGGCGCCTCAAAACTCACAGCCTCTCCCCCGATCCCCCCTTCTGGCTTCTCACTACCAGACGCCAACCCTGCAGCATTACACAGGGTACAGCGTGGGCGAGTTGGAGCAGGCAGTGCGAGTGCTGCATGCACTGCACGTTGCCGTGCCGTCCACCACTTTGCCGGCCATCCGAGCCAAATACAGCCAGACCAAGGTGTGTGCTGCTGCTGCTGCTGCTGCCGTTGCTGGTGGAGATGTCAGTGGTGATGTTGACGGTAACTCTGCTTCTCTGCACCTGGTTCTGTGCTTCTTTTTGAGTCGTGACGCTGCTGTTTTCGTGATCCTGTTTTCATGATGCTGTTTCTGTGGTGCTGTTTTCGTGATGCTGTTTCTGTGATGCTGTTTTCGTGATGCTGTTTCTGTGGTTTTGTTTTCGTGATGCTATTTTCGCGATGCTGTTTTCGTGATGCTGTTTCTGTGGTGCTGTTTTCGTGATGCTCTTTCTGTGGTTTTGTTTCCGTGATGCTGTTTCCGTGATGCTGTTTTCGTGGTGCTGTTATCTTGATGCGGTTCATCCCCCCTCACACATTCTTGTCGCCCCGCTCTCCGCTCCTACATTCTTGCCGCTCTCCGCTCTTCCTCGCTCTTTCTGCTTATCTCCTCTCCTACGTACTCACCCTTCTTCCTCCCGCCCGTATCTTCCACTTCCCTCCCCCCCTCTCCCCTTTCCCCCCTCCCCTCCCCGAGCAGTTTCAGTGCGTTGCCTCCATTCCCCCAGTCTCCCCTACTGTCCTCACAGCTGCCTTCTCACCACCTGCTGCCACCACCTGACTCCTCGCAACCCCCTACTCCTCGCACCCCCCTCCTCGCACCCGCCTCTTCACCTGCTGCCATCTCCTGCTGGCATCACTGCTACCTTCTCACCATCTGACTCCTCCCACACACGTCCCCATCTCCTCACCTGCTGCTGCCCTTTTCGGTCGCTCTGCCTGCTGCCACCAGCTGCTTCCTAGTCGAGTGGAAGGAGGAAGGTAATGGGGTAATAGGGGGGTTGGATAGGAGGGAAGTGCGAGGGGAAGGTGGTGGGTTTGGGTGGTGGGTTTGGGTGGGGTGGGAGCTACTGGCGTGGGCTGCTAGGGCTGTGGATAAGAGGTTGTGCTTTGGAAAACCACCAGGTTGGTTGGTTTGAGGTGGGAATGGGGGACCTGGGGTTTGCACCTATTGGGGATGGTAATGAGACGTGTCTCTGGTGTGTAGGGGAAGTAGGTTCGACGCACACACGCACACACACGTGCACACATACACATGTGCGAATGCACGGTATGCATGTTCATGCATACACACACCTACACGTACCGTACCTATGTACCTTCAAACGTACCATAGTAAGCATGCAGATGGAGCATCCTCTCCAAGCTCTTGCAGCGATTGGAGCAATGAAGGCCCGCATTTTCTCCGAAGGGTAGGAAATACTTATTTTACAAGGTGCCGCAGTGCCAGAGGAAGCGATGGCGACATGTTACGAGTGAATTGAGTGCCTCGATAGAAGCACATGACATGATTACGTCGTTCCACGCGCTCCTTCAAATTTAGTAGCTGCTGCTCAAGAAGAATATAAGTATTCATGATGGTTTCGGTTGTAACACAAATTCTTTTTGTTGATCTGCGTTTGGGTTCAAGTAGAGGTAGTGGTTGCTGCAGATTAGAGTACGTGCATGCTGGTACCGTATGGTACCCCAAGGTAAGTCTAGAAAACGTTTTGACGAGAGGGATACAGTTTACGGTTGGTACCCGAAGTATAGGTTTACGTTTTTTTCTACGACAAACAAATACAAGGGCAAAATTGCGCGACGCGCCGGCGCGCGAACTTCTCTCAATCCCCTCGACCAGCCTCGCACCGCAGGTAGGGCGACCGAACCCCTCGCAAATGAATCGACCTACACGAGCTTACGCGATATTGACATCAAATTAAATGTGTAATAATTGGTGGTCTTCCAAATTGTCACTGTTTCGCGCGGGATGATTTTTTTTTTTTGGTAGGTGAAAATGCATTATACAACGTACAACGCAAAACACCGTCGGTCGTAACCGGAGCTAGAGGGCATAGGTAGTGTATACCTGTAAGGAAAATCCCTTTTCCTTACTTCGCGTCACTGCTCAACGCGTACATCACTGTAGCACCACAGTCAGCACCGTTACCACTCGCAATCCTCGCATCGACAATCCGCCCGCCATCTTCGCACGTCGCACCTCGACCTCACGGCTCGGCGGGTAACCCGCGCTCTGGGCCTCCGCTTCGACACTTTCCCAACCTCAGTCCCAGGCCCGTCGCGCGTCAACCACAGTTTATTACCGTTACCACTGTAGCTTCGCTATATATTCTTCGCTCATGCTTTCGCTCATTGTACTCTTGCTTCGATAGTGCAATTCTCGTTCGTTCACTCAATTGCACTCGTAACACTTGGTATTCAGAGCCTACGACCTCTTCTCGGACCGCACCCACACCTTCGCTTCCCCACTATCTCAATTTTTGGGGGGGGTAGACGTCCCTCAGCGACACAGCACCGCCGCTCGTAGTGCTCTCTCGTAAGCACGCACGGCCACGACTGAGGCTCTCGCTGAGCTCGCCCGACACCCCCGCCATGGCCGAATTCACGCTCGCCACATTAACGCAGGAGCAGCTCGACCGTCTGGTGCGCCAACTCGAAGATTCGGCGCTCGAAATTGCGACGCTCACGGCGGAACGTGACTCCGCGCGTCAGCAATCAACGATGAACACTCCAGCGCCACCACACGCACCGACAAATGCATCTGCACAACCAGACGAGCCGATCGTCATCTCGTCCGGCACACCAACACAAAACAACAGCGTGGGACAGCGCTCAGGCGCAGCCAGCGATGGCGCCGCCCAGCCGATGCCTGGCATGGGAGGAAACAGGGTCGCACCAAGCCCGCGGGAGCCTCGCGAAGCCCGTCGGCACGTGGAGTTCGCGGCGACAAGTAGCGAACAGGCCATCATGGCACCAATGCCACTCAAGCCGCAACGCCCGCCCTGCTTCGACCCGAGCCAGCGTGGAGGTCCGACGGTTCAATCGTGGGTCTTCACGATGAACGTCTTCTTCGACGCGAATTACGTCGAGTCGGACGCAGCGAAGATTCGGTATGCAGTTTCGCTGCTAAGGGGCCCCGCCATGGACTGGTGGCGAGTCATCGTGACGTCGTCACGCGCCTACGAGCCACCGTTGCAAGAGGAAGGGCCCACGGGTCCAGCTGTCACCTGGAGTTCATTATGCGAGACCGCCCAATACAGCACGTGGGATGCGTGGTGCGCAGGGCTTCGGGCGCGCTTCGAGCCGATCGCGGCTTCTATTTCGGCGCGTCAGAGATTGCGCACTTGGCGGCAGCTCGGATCGGTTCAAGACGATACGAGTGGTTTTATCGCATTATGCGAGCAAGTCGGCTACATGCACGAAGCGGAGCGGGTGGACCGTTACGTCGGAGGGCTGAAGCCGGACATCTCGCACGAAATCATGCTACGCGGGCTCTCGAACTTCAACGAGATTCTCGCGCTCGCCGAGAAAATCGACATTTTACGCCGTCCGAGACCGGGGTCCTACTATGGACATCGCCCTCGGGGACCGATCGAGCACGCCACTGTACACGCTGTTGCGACGAATGCAGCTGCCGCGCCGTTTAGGGGGCGCTGCTTTGCTTGCAACAGGCCGGGCCATCGCAAGAACGAATGCCCAGGGGAGCTAAGGCGCCGCGGAGCAGAGCAGGGGAGGGAGTCTCCAAGGCAGGGAAACGCCAGCAGTCAGTAGGAACCGGGCCAACTAATGACGAGACTGCCTGCTCGCCCAACCCCACCGACCCTCACCGAGTCACAGTACCGATTCATGCTATCGATCGGACTCGGACGAATAAGGAGGGTACAGCGACGGATTGCCCAGTACTGATCCACGGGAAAATACAGGGAGCAGCAGTGAAGATTTTTATCGACGGAGGAGCAAGCCACAGTTTAGTTAATACCGCAACCGCACGAAAACTGCAGCTGACACTTAGCCGTTGCTTACCGGAGATAGACGCACGCTTAGTCGACGGCACGCCACTGGCCATACGGGAAAAGGTAGAGAGAGTCAAAGTCCGCTGCGGGGGAAATTTCGGGTTTACACAGGAAATGCTCGCAACGACACTGGATGGGCACGATATTTTACTGGGACGTGATTGGCTGCGACGATATAACCCGCGAATTGACTGGACGACGGGTAGCTGCACCGTGCGAAGTAGTGGTAACTGGGTCGAGCTACCTCGCTGGCAGTCGCCCGAGTCTTCAACGGTACACGTCAATGCCATCACAATGAAACGGGCTGTCGCTGCTGGAGCTGACGTGTACGCAGTAGACATCGCAGTAATAGAGGAAGCATAGCAGCCGAGTGATTTCAAGAAACTCCTGGCAGCCGTACCGCCCGAATTACAGGAACTGTTGAAACGATACCACGGGATTTTCCCCGACGACTTACCGGAAGGACTGCCACCTCAGCGAGCACATGACCACCGAATCGAATTAGAACCGGGGGCACAGCCAACCGTACAGCGCCAGT